TAAGACCTTAATAACATCTCTAAGAAACATACAAACATATTATGTGCTGCCATGGAGTCCCTTTAGGTCAATTCAGACCACTTTCCAAGTTCCCTGACTTGAAGGAATTCTCGCATTAAGAAATGCTGGCATTGCCTATGCAAGACAATGTTTGGTGAGGTTCAAAATAGCTCCCCTTTCCAATTTCAGACATTTTGCCACTTACAGGTCAATAGGACCCAAGGAAACACTATCAAGGCTATGATGACATTCTCAGAGAATAAACTGTTCTCAAAGGCCCTTAATTTTCATTGGAAAGGCAAGAACACCCACTCTCAGGGCATTTTCACTGGTTCAAAAACCTGTAAAAACTATCAAAATTAAATGAAAATTAGCAACAAAACAAAAAAACTGTTCCTTTATGAAAGTCAGTTCACTTGCTAAAATGACAGTGTCTCCCTGCACATTAGCTATGAAAATCTGGCCTTCATAACCTGAGGACATTTTTCTTGTATGGTCCAAACCCAAGAGCTGGGAGTCAGCCTCCCTTCCCTCTCCCCACAACCAAGTATATCTCAAGGTGAAAATAGGACTTCCCAAGATTTCACTTAGAAACAGAAATCTTACTTTATTTATTCCATTACAAAGGAAGTAAAAGAGCATTTTGCCTTCTTTTCACAACACTAGAAATTACTTGTTTCCTAAATTTTTTTTCTTCACCTGTCATACTCAACTCAAATTGACTGAATTCCTTTGCATTCCTGTAAATACTTAGTTTACCCCCTCTGATCTGTCAATGGCAGAGTACCTTTCAGAGCAGCTGCAGAGGTGGCTTTTTTAAAAAAAACTACATCCACTTTTGACCTGCTTATAACAGATTAAAATAACTTGCAAGGACAGTCAAGTCAGTAAGTCATTTCTTCAGCTATAGATGCAATCTTCAAATCAATTAAAAATTTTTCCTCTAAAAATCTGTATTTTTAAATTTTAATAACCCTAAGTAGCAAGAGATTGATGATACCAAAAAAAGGAAACATTCATGCTCTCCTGTAACTGAGAAGTGCTGGTTAAGTTCTTCAATCAACGGTTTACTGGCAATTTTCTCTTATTGTCTATTTCCTCCTGAAGAGAACTTCTCAGAGATTTTAAGTACTTTTACTTAGCATTATATAGCATCCAAAGCACTTCTTAAGTCAATATGACTTCCAGCTCCAGCATTTAACTCAAGACACGGGATGTCAGTCCAATTAATAAAACCACTTCTATCTGCTGGATTCTGTTGATATACAGTGACAATTTTCAAGGTATACTGTTATGAACAAAATGCAGCAGTGTGAGGCACTCGCAATATACCATCTAGGTATATTTTTTTCCCCATGACCAATGAACATCTGCCTTAAAAATCCAACCCAGGTTTCCCATACATTCTTCAGAAGCTAATTTAAACTTTAGTACCTAAGCAAAGCCTTGGCAAATATGTAAGGAATGTACTACAAAATTTGGAATATTGTAATACTGAAACCAAATTATTAATAACTGTAGTTTCTAAAGAAAAGTTCTTCTTTTACCCCCCTGCCCAATGGAACTGTGTTAGTTTTCCTGGGAATTCTGAATTTCCAGGGGAATACACAAGTAAACCAATTGCCTATCTCTAAACAGAATGAGGTGTCCAGTTCACCAAACATAAAGGCCTAAACATATTCAGTCATGTAATGGGGAAAAAGGAAAACCATCTTCTTTGATGTAGTCAATTTATTTCCAAATTCACCCCAGAAATCTGAGCACTTAGACAAATGTCTAAACATGTGTACTTGTCTAAGTATGGTCAGTGTGATTGCCAAATGAAGCAACGTATTTTTGTGTATTATTACAGCCCAGGTATAAAACATGGAATTCATGAAAAGTTCCCAAAATAAAATAAAATTTTTCTTGGACATTATTTGCTAACATTTTAGTCCCAAATTCTAAGCGATCAAATGTCAAGAACCAAGTTAACTTGGACCACTTTAAACAGAATCTTTCTTCATTCTAGGTATACAAGAACGAATGCTATTTCTTCAGAGATCGTCTTAGATCCTCAAGTCTAGGAAGAAAAATTAACCACAACTGCAATCAAGGTGATAATTGCAAACTCATACAATCATCCAAAGATAAGCTACTTCCCATTTCCCTACTCACTAACACATTATCAAAGTCCTGATGGTAGCCTTTCACTTTCCACATTTCCATACCAGTAACATGTAATGCAACCATAAAGCTACTCAAGGTCAGTTCAGAGCAATTGTCTGATCACCATGAATCAAATAAGATTTTTTAAAAGTCCATAATGAATCAGAATTACCAGATTATGTTACCACCAGGTATCTTTTATATAGTCTTCCACTCACAAATCTTGGGAAGAGTACTCATACAAGCCCGCTGAGAATTGCCACATCCTTCCAAATGGACAAACATTACTAATTTAAAACACTAAGTAAGGGCTGGGTGTGGTGGCTCATGCCTGTAGTCTTAGCACTTTGGGAGGCTAAGGTGGAGGATTGCATGAGGCCAGGAGTTCAAGACAAGCCTGGGAAATAGAGAACCCCATCTCTACAATTTAAAAAAAAAAAAAAAGAAACCAACTATGTACTAAGTACATAGACTAAACCTCAAAAACATAACTTGATAAATTATTTTCTAACTTGTATGGACATTTCTCACCTTCTCCTTCCATTTGGAAGTGAACAACTGACTCCTGGTTATTTAGTGTATCAGTAATCAATAGCACAAAACCTAAATTCTGCCCAAATGGGCATTCTAAGCTCTAAAAACTGCAGTCTCCAGAAGGCATTAATTTCTGCCCCAGCTCAACCTATGGCGTTTATGTTTTCTTACCTATATAAAATGCTCAGAATTCTCATGGAAAAATCAATAATCACAACAGAAAGCTTACCCTAAGTGACTTGAGAAGTGTCACTAAATGTGAAACATTAACAACAATCATGGCATTAGGATTACTTTTATAGCAGATTTATGCTTCCCTGAACAGCTTTCAAAATACACTCTAAGTTGCAAGCTACATCATTTTTCTTAAAAATTACAAAACCGGCTTTACTAAAAAGCTATCAGATATCTTGCCCATATTCTGACTATAGAGGTGGAAAGTTTGCTTTAAAATTACTTTCCATTCACAGCTTCCCATAGAGTAGGACCATTTAACTTATACCTAATTTTAAAAGAACTGCTGATCTGGCAGTGACAGCTTAGATTAGGGGTCAGCAAACATTTTTTGTAAATGGCCAGATGTCATAGGCTTTGTGGGCTACCTACTTTCTTTGTGGCAGTTTTTTTAACCCATTAAAAATGTAAAAGCCACTGTTAGCTCAGGGATGTACAAAAACAGGCCACAGGCTGAAGTTCACTAAACACTAACTTAAATACAGCACTTTAAACAAAACTCATTTCCAATGTTCATACTTTTATGAACATTGTTCATACTTAGTGCCCAAGACATTGACGGCTTTAACAGTTCATCTTTATAACCTAACCACTTTCTGAAATTAACCTTCTCATGTTTAGGTTACAACCTTGCTTTCCCTATATTCTTGGATTTACTAAATTCCTCAGCCTAACTTATTTCAATCCCTTTTCATATAATCTTCAAACTTAAAAAAAATCAAGATTCTCAAGTTGAGAGAGTCATGCCCAGGGTTAAAGGGTACCCCAGGCACAGCTCAAATAGTAACTGAAACAAATTTCTGAAAGCTGCCATTTAATATTCAATTATCAATAAAACCTGACAATTTTGCAAATGTTGATAAACTATTTCATTAATTACGAGGGTCCAGAAGTTCAAGTAGGTATCATTTCTGTCTTGCTATTAATTATACTCTATAAAGCATAGTAGTAATCAAAGTTCTGAGCTTTCTCAGGTCAAAGAGCTGGCTTTTAAGTATTCAGACTCACTAATCACTTACATATTAACCTCATTACAATTACAAACGTTTGGGTTAGAACCTATTTTCTAAGCACTTATTTAGAAAAGTAGAACAGCAAGAACCTGAGATCCCTAGAATTTGCTACACCAGTTAGCTCAACACTGGACTCCATTAATATACCTGTACAATCTTACCTTTAAAGTCAACATCAGTTAGGTTCTAGCAGCTTCACATTGCTCAAGTTTTTAAAAACCTTAATACCTGTTAGTTCCTTCTACACACTAGCGCTTTCTTAAAGATATATTTTTAAAATCCAATACACAATATTTAGACTTTGTATGCAACTCCCTAGAAGAATAATTTTCCTATTTCAGTGCAACCATCTTTAGCAATTAGAAAAATAACATAATCCAAATGAATACTTAATATTCTCCCTTCAAACCCATATCAAAAATGTCCCAAATATATTTACAACCCTGGAGATGATGTGTCCTGCTTCCATTTTAAAAATAAAACTGAGTTAAGTAACTAGATATATAGTACCTGGTGACACTTTTAAGTTTTTAATAACTTCACAGGTCTCAAAATAGTGTTTTGCTAATAAACTTTCCCTGATCACTTCAACACAAGCTGTTAATGTCTAAAATTTCTGCTCTAGAATCATTTCCATTTAAAAGCATCAAGATATAAAAGTTCACCTAAAACATTAGCTGCCTTTACTATTTTAGGGCTCTGTACCCACTAAGCGATTTTTCCCTTGGGGTATTACACTGTTTGTCAATAAAAGGAGGCCATTTAGTATGATTAACTTTCATCCTCAAAAAATGATTTGCTAAAAAGTGACAATTATCAGTCCTTGAAATTCACATTTTATAAGAATTCAACTTTCCCTTCTGAAGTGGGAAAGGGGAAAAAAAGAAACGAAAAATAGAATTCAACTTTCCCAACTAAAGCAGTAATTAACATAGGTACCCTTCCCAAATGCGATTCAACAGCCTTGCGTAGCAAATAAAAATCCTACATAAAGTCTAAAAATATGAGCATTACATCTTGCAGGTATGCACACAGGGCAGAAACCAGGAAAAACAGGACGATAAATGGGTTCCTATTGGTTTTTATGACTTTTATGAAGTGAGCATGAAAATAAATCTTTATTTTCAGTTATTACCCACCAGTTAGAGAAAGTTAGGTTCACAGTTTTAGCTCTTGACACAAAGTGAACTAGGAGGCAAATTTATATCAGATACAACTAATGGACCAACTTTTTAAGTTCAGGCTATCTAGAAAGCTTGCAACATCCCAGATATTGCTGTTTATTCCCGTGACAGCAATGGGTGACAGTGAGTATAACTTGTGTTCTTAATAGCAGGTGCTTTCTATAACATGTTGCTGAAAATCAAGAGGTTTATACACATGTCACATGTTCAGAAATGAGTTAGATACTTCAAAGTCTAAACACACTGATTTAGGAGTGGGTATGTTGCAATCTCAAGAGGGGTCAATAGTCCATATGGACTAAATTAATACTTGCCTCTGGGTATCAGGTATGTTTGTAAATATTAGACATTAGCACCAGTGCAGAACATGCTCAGCATAAGATCGAAAACACCAGCACAAGTTTATCCATCCCTAAAAAACAATTACCTCCTTCCTAAAATGTCAGACTAGAAGGTAATTTAGATTAATAAATCTAATCCAAATGAATAACTCTTGTACGGTACAATTTTTCTCTTTTAGAAGTGTGAGAATCAATCAACTAAATAGCAGACATACTAAAGACTGAAGATCTTCAGTATTTTTAAAATTGGACATTACCAGACATATGTAAACGATTACTTAAAACTGAGGGACAACAGTCTTAAAACTTTAAATAAAAATCCTTTCCTGCTTACCAATAAATGTGGCAGAATTAAAAAAACAAAAACTAAAAAACCTATTTTATTGATCGTCCTCTCTGTGTATGTTCTAATAGGGGGGGATGCTCCCATTCAAAGAATCCATTATTAACCTAATATTCTAATAGAGGAAGAGGGGAAAGATACTCATCACTTTCTGTGAAACAAATATTCATCTATCAACTTAAGACCAAATAAGAGCAAAATAGGAAATTCAGAAACAGAAAGATTTTTGGTTTATATTTCACGATGGTGCGGCTGTTCCAACCTTATAAAGTAAAGCTGTCTGCTTTCCAAATTCCAAAAATTAAAATATTCCCCCATCTAACCATACTAACCAGTGCCCTTTGGTTTCTTTAGAACAAGGAAGGGTTAAAGGGTTACCAATTATGTATGTACTATTTTGATTTGGGGACCTTTCACAGACACAAATCATACCGTGTGGCCAGACACTTATTTTACAGAAGAGTTTAAATATTATGCATCAGCCAAATCAACTTATTCTACCCACCCTGCTGGAGGGTAAAAACTTAATATCCATTAAACTATTTCACTTGACAGGATGTGTCTATCAATAATAAGTAGCTTAGACAACTTTCACCAACAAGGTGTCTAGTTTGGCTTTTAAAATGGGAAAAGCATACATTTGAAAAGTAAATATAGTTGAAATTATAAATTGGTAATAATTTGAACCTAATGAACCATGCAAGGAGCAAGAGTTAATAAACCAATGTGCTTTGAATTTGTTCAAGTACTGATATTTCTGTATATAAAGATTTAGCATATATATAACAGCTATCATGAGAAGTGAAAAGATTTTTCCCCAAAAATGAAAATATTAAAACTAAGTTAAAATACATAAAGTAGTTAGTATTCCACACAGCATAAAATTCGACAAATCAAAGTTTACATGTCCCAGTTGACCATGTGTGAAAATGCAAAGCAGGTATTAAAACCGATATGTCCAATATTTAAAACCAGTTTATAATTGGGGGAACATCTAAATCCTTAATTAAAAAACACAAATGAAGTGAAAGCTTTAAACTGGTACACACTGTTCACACCTATATTTCAAGTTTGGAAATGCATATTTGCAAGCAGCAATACAAAAGTATTCATGAAGAATGCATAATCTCTGAAAATTATGAAAACATCCCTGCTACCAATACATTTCTAAATACAAAACTGACTACCATATTTGTTACTTCTGTGTAGCAAGAGAAGTTCATTTTCAAAACAGATAAAATTCAGTCTTTAGGTGTGAATGGTATGAATGACAGTCTTTTTTCTTTTTCTTTTTTTTAAATTTCTTAAGTTGTTTGGAATCCTTAAGCATGCAAAAGCTTTGAACAGAAGGGTCCACAAAGGAACCAGGGTTGTCTTGTGGCATCCAGTTAAGCCAGAGCTGGGAATGCCTCTGGGTCATCCACGTCAGGAGCAGAAGCACTTGACTGAAAAAGAAACAAATCAAAATCACCCACAATTCTTAAAAACCCACTGCCAGTGTAAACGTTTAGACAAAACTCTAAAAAAATCTTGATGTTAAAATACTAGGTAAAATGTATCAAAGCTTTTACTTATAAAAGGCAAAATTATGGATCAGAATAGGACTACAATTTGCAATGAGCCTTGTCTTGAATTTCTATCAAGACCTATTTTCATTCTCTAGTAACAGTATGGGTTGTTTTATTTTTCAAAAAACCATGGGATATGAATTCTTTGTTCAGCATTCTTGTACTTTTTCCACTCGCTAAACAAGAGTTGCATCAATGTGAAAGCATGCTAAGAAATCAATTTAACATTTATGTAGTACATTCAATGTTAAAAAAAAAAGGAGCCCCCCCCCCAAAAGAGAAAGGGGTCCCAGGTCACAACTGTTATTTATAGCTTGAAGTACAAATAACAACAAATCTAAAAATAATGTATTGAAAAAGGCCATAAACACAACATTGGCCTTAAAAAAAAAGACTGATGTCAAAGGAAGAAACAAAATATCATTACACTGCCACTGAGGACTTTAAAATCTATATTAAGTTAGCACTATAATCAGACTCAAGTAAATGGGTCCCCAAACTTGTTTATCAGGTGTTGAGAATCCAAGAGGACATTATGGTTGTTTCCAAGCTGGACCATAAGAAAAAAATGAAATAACCCAAAGGTTACCTCTAATACTTTAGCTTAGTAATAGCCATTAAAAGCAGACTTTGGAGCCGGGCGCGGTGGCTCACGCCTGTAATCCTAGCACTTTGGGAGGCTGAGGCGGGCGGATCGCTCAAGGTCAGGAGTTCGAAACCAGCCTGAGCGAGACCCCGTCTCTACCAAAAATAGAAAGAAATTAATTGACCAACTAAAATATATATATATACAAAACATTAGCCGGGCATGGTGGCGCATGCCTGTAGTCCCAGCTACTCGGGAGGCTGAGGCAGTAGGATCGCTGAGCCCAGGAGATTGAGGTTGCTGTGAGCCAGGCTGACGCCACGGCACTCACTCTAGCCTGGGCAACAAAGTGAGACTCTGTCTCAAAAAAAAAAAAAAAAAATAGAAGCAGACTTTGGCATCAGACAGACCCAACTTCACGAATATCAATTACTTAGGCAAAGTATTTCATTAGGAACTTGTTTTGTGCTACATGTTGTGCAAAGCACTGGAGAGATTATAGAAAGCAAGACAAAAATGACACCCAACTCTCACAAAAGAGTCTGGTAAAAGAAATCAAGAACAAAAAAGGTATCAACAATAATGTGAGTGTCACACAAGGAATTTTACAATGAACATGCAAAGGTTACCAAGCCGAGACCTAAAAAGCAGTTAGGCATTAAATTAAAAATATCATCAAAGATGAGTATATTTCATATCAATTTTTCCAAAGGCCAAAAAAGTTCACTTAATTCCCTGTACCAGAATGTCCTTATCTGTAAAACAGCGATGTCACCAAAGTGAGAATTAAACGACAAAGTACATAAAATGCCTAGCACAACACCATGACCAGCATCTATTAAGAACTCAGTGAAGTGTGGTAATTTAATACTATTGCCAACACTGTTCAAAAAGTCATTTAAGTGATTTAAATAAAAATACAACCTAAAATGTAGTTTCTTGAAAGTATCTCTACATCCTCTACTTCCTTTTGTCTCCAAAAGGACCAAGCCAGTGATTTACAAGTCTTTCAATTACTTAAAAGGGAAAAAGAAGTCTTTAAAATAACCTTGTCAGTCCTGCTGCCACGGTTTGGGCGTCCACCACGTCCACGCCCACCTCGTCCTCCCCTGCCACCACGTCCTGGGCGGCCAAGGTCTCCAAAATTGATCTCCAGCTGAGACGTTATATCATTTGCTGGCTTCCGGAAATGATGGTCCATAACCGAATCTTCAGCATGAGCCTACAAATTTAAGTGAAGACCATTGGATAATTAAGAGGAAAGTAATGTTTTAAGATTCCTAAATAATGAGCTTTCTCCTAAAAAGACCAAAAATCCAAACTTTACTTTGTGTGAATAAACATGTCAACTCCTCCACAGGTAATAAGTAACCATTGGGTTCTATAGTGATCTTAAAGGAAGAATTCCCTTCACTTTTCTCTATCTCAAATTTCTGTCACTTTAAATTGTAGGCGATATTGGCAATCCTCAAAGGCATATAATTTGATCATGATCAACCCAAGTGGCTGGTCCCCATCCCAGATCTACTGAATGCGACAAGGAATGAAATCTGACAAGTATATTTTAAATATGCCCTTCAGATTATGAGTGAATACCTGATGAAGACCTTTCAGAAGATGGCACGTGAGGTTTCTACTAGCGATAATACTCAATCTCTACAGGTTATAAAGAAAGAAAACCTCTGCTCTGCATTCTTCCAACTACAACTTGGGAAAAGCATTATCTCTATAGTTCTCAGAAGGGTTTTCTGTTCATATACAACTATTATGTTCTTCCACGATTGGAGAGCTAAAAATTTAAGTCAAACACTAAACACTTTACATAAGACGGGGACCTCCAAAACCCTACGCACAAATAATGACACACCTTAAATGTACTAAGAAAACCTTAAAAATACAGTCATCATGTTTGTGAAATCCAGATCATTTTTTTGCATTTACATATAAGCTATATGAGCCAGTCTAGGGGAAGCAGCAAAAATCCAGACAACTGCTTAATGCCTGATTTCTTGTATATTTAGTACGAATGGGTTTTAATCTTCTAGTGAAGCGGGAACTTCACTTATACCACTTAAAAGCACAGTTTTCTTTTCCTGAATACATGTATAATCCTCTTTTCTGAAGGGATAATCTAATGAACATTTCGTTCTAAACAACTTGTAATATTACAGCTGTCAATAACTATGCTTTAAAATACAAATAAATTTTTGTGGTTTTATCCATGTTTTTATTCTTTACATCATCTCATACCATAATTAAATGGCATCCTTTTATGCCATGCCAATCCACTTTATTTTTTTGAGACAGAGTCTCACTGTGTTGCCCGGGCTAGAGTGCTGTGGCGTCAGCATAGCTCATAGCAACCTCAAACTCCTGGGCTCAAACGATCCTTCTGCCTCAGCCTCCCGAGTAGCTGGGACTACAGGTATGTACCACCATGCTCGGCTAATTTTTTCTATATATATTTTCAGTTGGCCAATTAATATCTTTCTGTTTTTAGTAGAGATGGGGTCTCGCTCTTGCTCAGGCTGGTTTCAAACTCCTGACCATGAGCAATCCACCTGCCTCGGCCTCCCAAAGTGCTAGGATGACAGGCATGAGCCACCGTGCCCGGCCCCAACCCACTTATATAGAAGGTTCTTCTAATATTAATTTTAAAGGAGCCTAGAATAGAAATATAAATAAATGTAAATTCAGAAACCACCAGCAAATTAAAATCATTTTTATATATTGTCTAATTTTAAGTGCTCTTTCAAACCAAAGATATCTATTCATTACCAACTGCAGATCAAAAATATTCAGAAATAGCCATAATAAAAAATAACACACATAAAAAACAAAACAGTATAAAAAGTAATCACACAACATTTACATTCTATTTGGTATTAAGTAATCTAGAGATGGGTTAAAGTATACAGGACATATAGATTATATGCAAATACTATGCCATATAGTATATAAGGGACTTGAGCTGTTATCTACCAGGGTCCTGGAACTAATCCCCTACAGATACCAAAAGACTATCCTAGGATGAATTTACAAAAAACTTTTTTTCCCCTAGAGCAGCTAGAGAATCCTAAGTTGACAACAGAAATCTCTGCCAGCTCTGTCAATAACATGACAACTCAGTTCTCCATTTCTGAAGAAAGTAGTTTCTTCTTTTCACTAACTACACTTTGTATTTGTTGTGAGGACGAAGACATGTAAAACTTAAAGATCTCTTAGTGTTATATACAACAAACTTAAAGACCTAAGTATTTAAATAAGGTCATGTATGCCAATAAGACCAGATATAAACAAGTATCCCTATCACAAAGGTCATGTACACCAAACATGTAAAGGTGGGTTTATAATGAAAATGCCCTGGTTTCAAAGTTATTCATAACCAATTTAACATTTGATAATTCAAATTCGTAATCACATACATTACCTTGTATAATAGTTATTTCTGAAAAGCTCAATGTAAAAAGATATTTAAAATTGGAATATCTAACCTGTATCTATAAAATCAATGAAAAGACTTTAGGGCATTAATGAATCACCCAAAATTACAACTAGAATTGTATTCGTATATGTATTTTGGTCTGGGAAAAAATCCAGCTGGGACCCCAAAAAAGTTACAAATAATTTTAAGGGAGGCTAGGTAAATCTTTTTCATATTAACCCAGGCAATTTAGTAATTAGTTCAAATAAACAATCTCCCCAAGACAAACTTTCATGGTTCTTACACCAGGAATTCTATTTTCTTATTCAGACATACATCTTTAAGAACAAAACAGCCAATCAGTTCTAATGGTTTCTTTTCCTCCCTTCAACTTGTCACTAAAGACATTGTCCTCATTTACTATGTTTATAAATGTTAAAACCATCTCTTCTAAATCTAAGTTTCTTTAACCTCAATTTTATGTTAAAATATTTCCAAATTTGTCTCACAGCCTTTTTTTGGTTTAAAAGATTAAAATGTATTAAGATATAATTGAATCTTTTTACTACAGATTGTCCTCACAACATTTTAACTTTACCTTTAGATGACAGAATTTGTACTCTGGATTTCTGGCACAGTCCAATTTATGATATAAATATGAATCAAGCACAAATGTCAAAAAGTTAAAGAAAGCTAATAGGAAAAAAAGTATTTAGTAGATGAAATAATGCAGTTTGTTAGCTAAAACTATAACTAAAATCTCATACTTACACATACCCTAACAGGATGCAGAAATGGGACATTCCTCTAGGAACATGCCCCAATGCTGAACTAGAAGCTACCAAATAAAAAGCCATCAATGTGACTTTCTCAAATAACAGCTGACCCTTGAACAACTTGGCTTTGAACTGTCTTAATGCCTCTGACCACCTCTGAGTCAGCAAGACCAATCTCTCTTCTTTCTCATGATACTCAAAGTGAAGACAAGGACAATTCATTTCCATTTTCTCTTCTTTATGATTTTCTTAACATTTTCTTTCTCTAGCTTACTTTACTACAGAAATATAGTATATAACACATTTAACATACAAAATGTGTGCTAAATGACTTCATGTTATATGTAAAGCTTCTAGTCAACAGCAGGCTATTAGTTAAGTTTCAGGGTAGTCAAAAGCTATACTCATTTTTGAGTATAACTGGGGGGGAGGATCAACCCCCAGGATCAACACCCCCAACCCCCATCATTGTTGAAGGGTCAACTGTCTTTTCATTAGTTTCCACGTCTGCTAAGTTAAAGAAACCCATAAATTAATTCTTTGGTCTTTACAAGGCATCATTCCACAGTCAAAAATGATATTATCATTTACTCAGAGTCCTGACCATTATGCATGGTTATAGGCAAACAGTCTCAAAAGTTGAGTACTAAATGAAGCCACTTATATTTTAGGTTAAATCATATGAAAATGCCAAGATTTCAACCTAATACCACAGTCTTTTAATGATTCCCAGTTTGGCAAGATTTCAAAAAATATAACCACAACTTTGAAAAAGAACAACCATATTTCCAAAACACTATCATACTACATACCACTTACAGCTTTTTAGAAAAAAAGAACACTATTGTATTAAATATAATTGGGAACTGACTCAATGACTAATTTTCTTATATGGTAATGGAGCTTATTTTCCTTCAAGTTATCTAGTCCAAATGATCCTATGTAAACCTTTTTTAAACAAAATATTACCCAAGTGAAATTTAAACAAAAATTATAAATGTAATTCAAGTCACACCTGAACACTTTCAAACACCAGAAAACTTAATTTTACCTCTTCACTCTTTGATTTATGAAGAACAAATCCCTTCTTCCACTGGCCATCAGCACCTTCATTTGGTTTTCGGATATTAAATTCTACTTTTGCCCGGTCCTTATTTTGAATAGCCTTCCATTCATCCAAAGTCATCTCTTTTGGACCCTCTTCCTTTACCTCTTCAACTTCGTTCTCCCTGTGAAAAGATGTTCAAATTTTATACCTGGTAGAGAACTGGTATAATCTACATAAAAATATCTCAAACTTACAATTATAAGTAAGTTAATCTTGGCTGGTTGGTTATCTTTTAAAGAAAGACGACTAAGGATGGAGATACCATAGTTTGCTGTGTAACCCAAAAGTTAACATGCAACTTTCTAGAGACTAGGAATTCAGTGCTTGTTGATTAGTGCAGGGATTATAGGTGTGAGCCACGATGCAGACGTAAAAACATACACTTCTTAAAAACACACTACTGTGTTTTAAAACTAACCTCTTACATGCCTAATCCTGGGCCTATCTTCTAAAAGATACATCTTCAATTTTCAGAATTTCCCACAATATGCAACTCATAACAAATATGAAAATAACTATAGAGGATGCCTGTGAACAACCAGTTTGCAAATTTTGTAAAAGAACTGTTTCTCTTATGATTTTAGCAATTAGCACTTAAAGCAAAGCAAAATAAGAGCTCAAGTTCCCACAATTCCTAAAATCTACCCACTGCAACTTATAAACCAACATGTATTACATATGGACAGGAGACTGAGGTTTCACTATTAATGGAGTTGTCCACAAAGCACACAGGTTTCAACAATTACTACCAAATTAGTTATTTCCCAATATAATTCTCAGGCCACAACTATTGAACATATCCTTTCTCTTTCTCACAGAAACAAAGCACAGCCCTCAGAATCCATTATTTTAGTCTAATTTCATTTTCCAATTGTCATCAAAAAAGTTATTTGCTATTTTGGGAGCCCTGCTTCTTTCCAAAGATAGCAGGTGATTAGGCTAGCCTTAGAGATCAAATATCTTAGCCCATGCTGCTGCCCATTACTATTTGACAAGTCCTATTTTTAAAACTTCCTAGAGTAAGTTTACATCAAATTGACTGGATTTGGGGAAGAGTCCAATTTTATCATCTTACAGATGAGAAAACAAAGGATCTCAAAGAAGGTCCTGGTTACCCATATGTTATGATGCAGCCAGGCATAGAATAGCATACGTTTTTATCACGTCATGAAGCATTGACACCTACCTTTCAAAGGTTGCTGTAAGGCGCAAATGAGAACCAAATAGAAACTGTGGAAACTATAAGGGAGTTAATGAAAGTCAGCCAAAGTTATACTTCTTATATTTATACTTCCATATGCAAGGCGCATACTATGTGCTCAGATTCTTCCCCAGAGTGAGACTGGTCTGCTCAGATGTAATCGTTATTTCCTTTAAAACAAACACCCCTAATTTCATTCCTGGGTCCTGAGCTAAGGATTGGTTTCTAGTACCCTATATCAATACATCATTATCATCTGGGAAAGTTATCATCACTCTGAAAGTGATTCAAACATGGACTATTTTTTGAGACAGTTTCGCTCTGTCACCCAGGCTAGAGTGAAACGGTGCCATCATAACTCACTGCAACCTCAAACTCCTGGGCTCAAGGGATACTCCTGCTTCAGCCTGCGAGGCAGCTGGGATTACAGGCACAAGCCACCATACCCGCCTAATTTTTCGTAAAGATGGGTTTTTGCTCTTCGCTCTTGTTCAAGCTGGTCTTGAACTTCTGAGCTCAAGCAATACTCCTCCCTCAGCCTCCCAAAGTGCTAAGATTACAGGTGAGTCACCAAGCCCAGCCCCCATGGGCTCTTTATTAATGTTACATAGGGTTCATTTAACTCACTAAATTTCATTGTTTACTATACAAAATTATGATTCCATATAGTTTTTTTTTTTGAGATGGAGTCTCACCCTGTTACCCGGCCTAGAGTGCCATGGTGTCAGCCTAGCTCACAGCAACCTCAAACTCCTGGGCTCAGCCTCCCCAGTAGCTGGGACTATAGGCATGCACCACCACACCCAGCTAATTTTTTCTGTATATTTTTAGTTTAGCTAATTTCTATTTTTAGTAGAGATGGGGTCTCGCTCTTGCTTAGGCTGGTTGGTCTCGAACTCCTGAGCTCAATCCACCCGCCCTGGCCGCCCAGAGTGCTAGGATTCAGGCGTGAGCCACCATGTCTAGCCCTGATTCCACATAGTTTTGCATAAATAAAACCTGTATTACCCCAAGTGCAAAACACCCATCAAGTATTTTTATCCACTCTCTCCACCAGTAAATCATTTTTCCCTATCCCAACAAACCCATGGAATATGATCCTCCCATCACTCTAACAGTGGTTCTCAGTAAGAGTAATTCTTCCTGAAGAAAAGGAAAAGTTCAGAAAGAGGATTCCCTCCCTGACTGATGTGAAAATGCCCTAGTTAAGAATCACTGTCCTAAATAATCTGTAATCCAAGACTTTAAACCACAATACTGTAACAAACGACTGGCATATAACTTCTGCTTGGGTTGACAGAAACTACAGGGAGACATTTAATTACTTCTACCAGCTTAACTTGAATCTTTAAAACAACTCCCACCCTTGAAAAAACAAAAACGTCAAAACCAAGTCTTCTTTCTACCTAAACTTGCAATACAAACATGAAGAAAGCTACTGAACTAAATTATGATCTTTGCTCTTCTCATACATTTTAAAACAGGCCAGTAATGCTATGTTCCAAATTCTATGTTGATGGAAAAAAATTTAGCAAGAAAACTAATTTTAAAAAGATCATGTTTTCTAGTTTTTGATGGTCTCAGAATAAAATTTATAGTTTATAACAATGATAAAACGCCTAACCAAATAGAAATAATCACATTAATATATTCTATTTTTCAAACCATTTGAGCCAAATATATACATGTAAAGCATTCTTCTAAATATTATTTGAGGGATGAGGGTACAGTAAAAGTTCTCTATTGTCAAAAAAGCCATCAAATAACAGCATTAAGTCTACGGACCATCTTATTGGTAAAAACCCAAACCGAATTTAATGCAGAGGCATTACAATTACATACAAGTCACTCACTTATTTTCAGTGTCTGCCACTGGATGTTCTTCACCTTCAGGTGTTTCCTCAGTCACATTTGATTGATCCAAGTCACTGCAATTATAAGATATTTGTTTCTGAATGTATTTTGGGGACTCTCTAAGGAAAGAAAGAAAAAGAAAGGCATCTAGGTCCATTTACATGTAACCAAAGGGTTCTTCATACAAAGATACTAAAACCCCTCACATCTCCCAAGTCTTTTCTTACTAAATTACTCCCCAGTAGACTAAGAGAAAATAATACAAGCTATTGATTAAATTAGTTCACATACTTCATACTTAGAAAATACCGGGACAAGACAGTGCTAAAACAAAGCTTTACCAAGCCTATCAAATTTTCTACCAACCAGAATGTCAATAGCTATATTAGGGACTATTAAAAACACAGAATCAGAATACACAAATAACTTCAATGTAGGATTTCAGGAAAAGCTATACATCCATATGGAAAAAAATTAATAACATACTCTGAAGTATAGAAAAACTGGTCAATTGATATGATACACTATAACTCAAAATCTATCCCATATGACATTTATCTTTTAAGATAGCAGCTCTGAAAGCATTCATTGTTGTCTCACAGACAAGTGAAATTTAATAGAGGTATGGATGAGCCTCTAGTAAGGTACAGGATCAATTTTATTACAATTACTTATAAAAAAAAAATCAGAATACCAACGTTAATTCATCTTTGACAGTTCCCCAGTTGTGAGATCCGCTACCTCCACGCTTGTCCTCATGCTTCAGGCCACTGTAATGTGAAAAAGAACTAACAAAACTGAGTTAACATAATACTCTAATTCTAGAAGTTCAAATTTTGTTTATTAAATAAATAGATTAAAATATTAAAATGAAATAAAAACCAATATAAGACTTACGATCTATCACTTCCACTATGCCTATCAAATTCACGTTTTCCACGAGAATCAAATCCATCTCCTCGGCCCATTCCACGTCCACGGCCTCCTCGACCTCTTCCGAGACCACCACGACCTCGAATAGGTCGGTCAATAATCGGTCTATGATAAATTAAAAAATTTTATTTCCATGGTACCAGAAAAAGGAATAAGGAAAATCCATTCAAAGGATCAAAAATACAGAACATGTTTACTGGCTCATAACCCAACAGTAAACACATTGCTTTAGAAAATCAAAATAGTCTATTTCTAAGCATAAAGGAAAACAGAACTAGGAAGCCCCTCAACACAAGAAAATTATTTTGGTATTCCCTAAAACATTATTACCAGTACCATGTTTTCCCAAAAATAAGACAGGGTCTTATATTTATTTTTCCTCAAGAAGACACCCTAGGGCTTATTTTCAGGGGATGTGTTATTTTCCCCTCAAAGCCTCAGCTTGCAGCATGCACAGGATGGCCAGGACCTGACAGGGGAAGCCGACCTTGTTGGTGGGGATGCCTGCACGTTTCCAGTCACCTCTGGGATAGCAGAGGGACAGATGAGAAGGGCCGCTGGTCTTCTTTACTGCTCTGCGACAAAATGCATGGGTTGTGCAGATATGTTGCGAAGCCACGCCCATCACTAGGTCTTATTTTCAGGGTAGGGCTTATATTGCACAAATGCTTAGAAATCCTGCTAGGGCTTATTTTATGGGTAGGTCTTATTTTCAGGGAAACACGGTACGTACACTTTTTCATTGCTATTCATCACACATTATAATTCAATAAAACTACCATTTACCAGTAGACTTAAAATTAAAATAGACACATCTAACCTGCTTAACAAGTAATATGTTTTGCTATAAACTATTAACCAATAATATTTTCCTTCTGCCTCCACATCTGGGGAGAGAGGGAAAAGAAACTGGCCATCAATCAACTAGAGTTTCATTATAGGAGATCTAAGTCTGAACTCTTACCCAAAGATCTAAAGTGTGACAATGCCAAAATTCAGACATTTACCTCTGAAAAACTAACAGAATTATCCATATTGCCATCTGGCAATTATACCCAATTTATAGTTTTAATTTAAGATGTGACTCTATAAACTGATAAAACATGATGAGGTTTTTTTTTTTTTAATCTTTACCTATCAACTGAAAATTCGCCACCTTCACCCTTTTCTTCAAGTGGCTTTTCAAATCTTCGTTCTCGAGGTGGTCGCCTTTCTGGTCTTCTATCAATAATTTTTCCTTCACCCTTAAGTTGTTGATCAGGTCTTCTCCAACACGCCTTATTCCTAAAATGAATATAAATAATCTGCATAAGCAAATTATTTCTACAACACAAAAACTTTAGGCCTAGACTGCCAAAAAAGGGTTGCTACTTAAGTCTACTAAATAGCTGTAGAAAAACGCATACATATTGGGCATCCCTAGAGTATAACAAAGTACTTTAGGGAAATTCCCATTTAAGATAATAAACTTGTTTTAAACTTCTGTTTAGTCTCCAAGTTATCCTCTTCCCAAAGCATTTTCTATAACTGACATGGAAGTCATTTGGGCAGTCATTATTCCACTTGTTTTTCAAGATGCCAGTCTCTTAATAAAAAATTTTTAAATCTATAAAGAAATTTAGACAAGTGATATATTTTGACTTTAAAAATACCAAAGACAATACCAGCAGCCATTCATAAATAATCAAGCAAATCAACACATTCACTAGATGTGGCCCTTAAAACAAAAAGGTCACATTATTTTATTCTATCTAATCTGAAGAAACTCATAATTCATAACTCATAATTCTATGAAATTACAAATCTGAAAGGAAAGCAAATGGCATTTAGGATTACTAGAAAACATGCCACCAATTTAAAATAGCTATTTAACCAGAAATGTCATCTTCCCTTCTATCATTTAAAAATATACAACAAGTGTTTTCTAAGTTCCTTCGGCCAAAAAAAATCAAATGGAAATATTAAAAAAAAATAAAAAAAAATTTAAATTCTGTGTGTTGGTGTATATATATATATATAAACAACTGTATGTGCACACACAGGTCTTTATGTACACATACTACCCCCTCCCAACTTTTAAAAATACTATAATATAACCTCTAGGAAATAGTTTAGTTTATTTATTATGGATAGAGAGAGACATTTTAAAGATTTCCTTACAACCATCTTTGTTTTCAAAGAATCTTAAAAAAGCCAAATACACACACAAAATGATCCCTTTAAGCAGTATATAAGAAATAGGAAACTGTGGCACTAAGTGAAGCTGAAGCATTTAGCGATTTCCTCCCTTATTGCTTTTTTCCTGTCACGCCTGAAGCCCACAAAGGCAACCAATATGAATTATCAGAATGATGGTTAAATTTTATAAATGTAAGACTGCAGGTATGCTGTGATTCCCAATTTCTGACAAAGTCAAATAGCAGCTGAAGAATTGGTTTTACAAGATCTTAAGTTGCTTCACTCTGGTTCTTTCTAAGAAAAGTGGAACACCATCAGGACACACCCAATTGTTCAGTTGCCTGGTAACTAGAGCCAACAGTAACATTTTAGGATTCACTCCCTGTAAACTCTCAGGATAGACCATATGCTAGACCTTACAACAAGTAATTTAAATAAATTTCATCAAAGTATAGCCGTATTGGGGTGGAGCTATGAACCAGTCCTTATAATGATATCCAAGCCAAAACACCCAAATGAACAGTGGTTTGCTTCCCCACCCACTATTTCAGTATTAGGCTTACAGAATCTAAAAAACTACAATAAATTCGCCTAATGAAAACTGATTGATATTTTAAAAACTGCCAGGTTTTTTGATATGCTTATCTATAATTTGCAAGCTAACTGCACTAGATTCGAGGCTTTTATTATTAAACACTCACACACACCCCCAGGTCTAACATGCAGTGACATTCTATCATGTCAATTCTCAAGTTTTTCAAAAGGATAAAAAGCAGCTACAAAATTAATTCATATGACAAACATTATTACCTATCTGAAGTATGTCTAGCATTGTGTGAATATTAACAAAATCACAGATCACAAAGTCAGGCTAACAATCTTTCCTGCTATAACAGGAGGAACTTTGTTTACAGATACATCTCCAGCGCACAGAAAATGACTGACAGATGGGTAAGATCTCAAAAGGAGCATTTTTCATCCAACATTTTCCCGGTATTTATAAGCTTGTTTTATCCAACTTAAAGGTGAGAGTGCTCTGAAATACTGACCTAAGGAAAATGTTAGGAATAGTTTTCCTAAGATTGACGAACTCAGTCCTGGTTATAAATTTAAGCAATAATTCCCCACGTCATAACTTAAAATACTAGTCCACATAAGAGTTTATTTTAGATGGGCTTCATAATCAAAACTGAGGCATTTAAACCACACTTCGTGCTTTGAACATTCGAAATGAGTGAACAGATCTACCGGGTACGTTTTAGATTCATGCTTCATACTCAAATTTCATGTACTTACTTTTTGGATTAGTGTGATCAAGGAGGCCAACTTAAACACAGTTTAAATAATTACACAAGCCAGTGTTCTTTAACACAGAAACTGAATGATTTATTCAACTGTGCGTAGACTGCCATAAAGCTTAATTGGCTGAACAGATACTTGGCCTAAGTGATGTTACATGCTTTCTAATATTCAGCTGTGCTTCTCCCCAACCTATAATTTTAACAAAAGAATTAATTACTTTGTTCTATTTACCACTTATGTCCTAGCATCTTCATTTCAAGCCTCACAAAAGTTCTCAAAAAGAAATTCCTAAAGCAAAACCTAAGTTGTTTTGGTTTTTAAAATCAGTTGAATGCTACAGAATTCAACTAAAGCTAACGAGGACGCCTTTCAGGGGCACCTGGCAGTAAGCAGTAATTTTCAACTTCCAACACATGTAACGGCAACTTTAAAGAGTTACAGCTTCGACTATACACCTTCTTGCTATGATCATGAATGCTTTTCTTACCCCCAAGAGTTTCGCTCTTTTTCAACCACAACCAACCAGTAATGAGAATTATAAAAAAACAAGGCACATCCTGTGCAATTCACAGTGCCTTCGAAGCACTTTATACTGCCAGTGAAATCCAGCATGCTTCACGCACATGGGGCGGGGGGAGCTACAGACTATAAAGAGCTCAGCTGAACTAACGTTGTGACAGCCTCTACACCCATTTTGCCCACGAGGCTCAGGTCAGGCCACACCATAGAAATACTGAGGTCGGGAGAAAAGATAGTGACACGAGGGCGAGCCTCATGATGTCCTGCAATAAACTAGTCTCCATGTAGGAATTCCCTTTCTGCTTAATTGAGTATAGCCAAATCCCCTACTTCCAACAAGCTAAACTCACTCTAGCAAGTTATAAGACTATAACAGTTGAGGGGTGGAGAAACAATAAATCATGCACATGTGGCACCCCAAAACTGCTGCTTACTCCACAGTATCTGATAGAAGATACCGAACGACTCCAGCTTTCAGTGGGGTACTCCGCGCCATCGTGGGACAAGATGCAGGACAGAAGCCTAGAACAGACAACAGCACCCCACAGGAGCACGGCGAGAAGATACCGCGCAGTAAGCAGCTGGTGGATCCCATGCTTCTCAGTAACTACAGAAAGCTTCAGTAAGTGGCTGGCTTCCCTCAACTCAGTCATGCGCTACCCGCAAGGATCGCGGGAAGGCAACCCTCAGGCGCGAGCATGCTCAGCAGCTCAATCACCGGCCACGCTTCTCCCCGCTTCAGAACTGAGGCGGAGGGGGTGGCTCCGGACCTTGCAGGTGTAGCTCGACTTGGGGCTATCACGTCCCAGCACCTTTGCAAGCCTGGCTTTGTGCGTTGGGAGAAACGTGAGGAATCGCGGCAAAAGTCTCCGCGGAGCCTCTTCGCTCCAGAAACAAGTGGTATTGCAAGTCCCCTCGCTCCTTCCCTCCATCCCGGTCTCCCCCACATTCTACCCCAGCTTTACCTTCTTTCTTAAGCGCCCACGGTGGCTGCGTCTCCTCTTTCTTGTCAACACGCAACGTTGGCGCAGCGGGTTCTTGCGGTCTTTCTGGGATTCTTTACGCAGCTGTTTGCCTGCCGCGTTGGATTTGTTGGTCCTGGGCCG